ATATATATATATATATATATACTCTATATATTATTTTACGAAAACCTGAAATAACTTAAAAAATAAACCCATCATCATGGAATTTCTCATTCAAATACATTTATACCAAGTGCGCAAATGATAAAATTTTCAAATACAGTTAATATATGAATTTCTGTCTTGACACATTCATTTCTACTACGCAAGTAGTATTTTGTAAATCAAATAACAGTTGCGAATGACTTATTTTTACTCGTTAACGGTCTTACACACTATAGACATTGTTTTTGAAGGCGTTATTGTAGTTAGAAGACTTCGAATTTGGTCGAATAGTCGGGAAGCGTGAATCTGGCTGGTCATGCCGAGCAATACGTACTTGGCTCCATCACAGCTGTGTAAAGATGTTATCAAAAATAGCTGTTGCAAGAAACTCTTTGGTGGAATAGGTGCTTTGGAATGACAAGGTGAGTGAAAGTGAGGCAAGGGTGAATGATTTTGGGGCAAGCTCGAACTTCCACAATGACAGCATTGACCTCTATATTATGTTGTTGTTTTCTTATGCCACCTGTCTGACGCAGTCAGATCGAGGCCCACGAAATTCATCGTGGCATGGGCAAGAGGTACGCCTGTCGTTGGTCTTGAGCACCATACAGGTGACAGTACGATTTAAGCTCGGCGAAGTTCCCCGAAGGGACGATAGATGGCGACACGACCTCTATCTCCACCTCCACAATTACTGCATGTGAACTAAAGGGGAGGGAAATATTCTCCAGTCCCTGCGCTCGTGATTAAGCTCACAAGACTACGGACCCACTGATTTAACAAGCACGTACTCCGTGTGTAATCGGAGGGTGTTTGGTGGCATCGGGCATCGAACCCAGGCCTTCCGGTCTGGAGTCCGATGCTCTAACCACTAGGCTACCCACGGCCCAAACTATATTATGTGCTACAACCTATTCCGTATCAAACGTTGTGCCTTCTGCTATTTCACTGTGCTTGTGAGGATTGCACTCACATAGGTCTTTAAGATAACTGTTTTTAACTGTACAACATAGGCAAAATTATCTAGTGGGGTGTCTTAACTGTTCATCATGGTTGAGAGCAAACTGCCATCGCATAGTGTTCAAAAAGGAATCACATTTATGTTTTGGGACAAATGTTTACTGGATACGTGTGTGCAAGGGCTGGGTAAAGTGGCCCCAATCAGTTTTTATGTTGCACACTCGTACAATCATTACCCCAATGTGAGGATATGGAGGACAATTTCTAGTAACAATAATTCACCTTTATTTGCTCACAAATCTAGTTGCTCAACAATATTTTTTATGGCATCCTGTAGTCATATGCATTATTTTTCATTGTACTTCATTCTCGTTCCTTTTCCTAACCAGATAATACTTGACGCTCAACGACTTTCATGTATCTAAATTGCCCCCATATATGTTTCTGATACTCTTCTTTCACCCGCAAGATCATCATACTTTTCACTAACCTAACATTTATGGGGCATGGTAAGAAATAATGAAGCAACAATTGAAGAATACCTGGAAGAATATATCGAAAGATTGTCTGTATAAACCTTTGAATCGACTCTTTACTTGCATGTTGCGTCACTGGATAGGAATTTCCTCAATTATTCATTTTAACATTCAATATAAAATTGATTGTCGTTGAGAAGGTCCTACTACTTTGAATTTTTAATCATTGCATTGTATGTATGTGAAATTTAGAGAAATGTTTAATTTTTATAAAATCAGTCACTTTTTTCATAATATTTAGTTTCTTTTTCCTGGAAAATAGTGCATAATAAAAACACGAAATACAAAATGTGTATTACAGAATAGTGTATTACAAATAAAAGAAAAATTCTTACGCTTGGAATGGGAATTCTCAGCAGGAAAAATTGGTTTTAAATTGAATAAGATTTTAATTTTTAAGACCCCTTTACGTCTTTCTTAAGTCAACATATTTGAATCCGATTCATTTTGAAAAATTTCATTTTATAAACAAAATGGGGATTCGAGGAAAGACATATACTCTTTCAAAACACTTTGGTATTTATTATTAAAATTTGAATTTTTTTAGTCTAAAATAACACTTAAAGTAGTCCCTCCGTTGTATATAAGTTTATTTTATAAAAGTGACATTTTATTTTAAAAGATTAAAATACTAATATCTAATTTAATCGAAAAAACAATCTCGAGATTCAAAAAATAGCAATAGATATTTTAAATAGTTTTAAATTTTTTATGATGAACAGTTTTCCTCCGAACTGAAAAAATTTGCGAATAAAACCAAAGAAGAAAAAAGAATAATAATGTAAAGAAAGTTAATATTCATACGTAGCTTTAACCTTTCTTTATACATTATACCTCGATATATGTATATTTGAGCTCAAAATACAACATAAAAAATTATTACGGTGAATAAACAGGTTAAAAGATAAACAAAATAAAAAATTAAAGAGTTAAAAATGTTATTAAGAAATGAAATTTTTATTGTTTTATTGAAGTTTCATATTACTGTTTGAAATAAGTAAATGATTTCAAATAAATAACAAATTTAAAGACCTGGACTCAGTTATGTGTCGCGTATCATATTTTCATTCTAACTGAACCTGCATATTTTATTTACAAACACTTTGAGAATATATGAAATATTTACAATTTATATCAATTTTCATGGAAAGTCCTGGGGCATTTTCTGTATTAATTTTTTTTAAAAAATGTGTCGAGTTACCAATATTGAACCAAGTACATTTCTATAAAATACTGTAAAATCTACCTGTTTGAATCATTTTTCGAAAACTAGTTTCAGTAAATTAAGTAACATTTTATATTATTCTAGGATTTCATCCACACTATATGGCTGGTGTTCCAATTTCTCTTAATACTACGTACGTATTAAATTTAAAAGTATTTATTTCCATTAAAAATAAAAAAATGAGAGAAATCTTACACTACAAATAATTATTCCCAAACGTTACGAGAGAAATGATTAAAAAGGAAAAGTATTAAAAAAAGAAAATTGTAAGAAAAAAAAAGTTACTAGCTTCATCTTAAAGAATCGTCTAAAGCTTAAAAAACATGGTAATTTAAAAAAGCTGTTAAAAATAATGTGACTGAAAATGACGACTAAAATTGGAAATTTGCGAGCAAGTTTTACGGGTAAGTAGATTTAATCAGACTATGGAAATTTCTTCCGTTTTTCGTTACCACTTTATTCTTTTATTATAAAGTCTCTGATTAAAAATTTTACATTTCCTTCCAAAATCTTTTTATTCCTTCTTTCTTTCTTGTGTTTAAACTCGGTTATTGCGATCAGTATTTTTTCCCTTAGAGTTCTTGAGAATCGTGTGTCGATTGTTTAGTGGTTATTTAAAGATTAACTTCTTTCTCTTTTACATTTGTCATAAAAAGAATATTGATACATTCTCACTTCTCAAGATGAACTTATATAGTTTAGCACAATGCATACCTTCATTTAGGGGGATATTTTCTTAAAAGACTAGCTTCAAAAGCAATCATTTTTTGTTTACCTGATAGAAAACTTCTTAAGAGAAGCTACTAAGGCTAGTCTTAAAGATTAGCACATACCAAAAAAATAAATAAACTAGCTTAATTTAGTTTCATCTACTTACTTTTTTCCATAAATTTAACATGATTAAATACAAAGCAGCAGGTTTACTACTTTCAAGAATATGACACGGAATTAAGGAATGTGTGTGAGCATCTTATGAATTTTAATGCATAATTTGTTAAATGTGTTACTGCTATTGGATTTAAAAGTATTTTAAATATGCTTTTTTGCGGCAACAATTGAGACAAAAGCAGTGTTTCAGTGTTTTACAAGCATGCAAGCAAACAATTTTCCTTCAACAGGATGGAGGTTTTCGATATTGCTGAAAAATGGAAGTTATGCATTTACATATAGTTATCATTATAATGAAAAAAATATGCTACCCCCGAATAAATAATAAAAATTGAAGCAATAAAATAGAAAATTGTGCAATTAAAAATATGAATACTTTAAATCAAGGTTGAAGAAGTAATAAACTCGTAGTCAGTGTGTAAGAAGTTTACATCTCACAGTTGGATGTGCAACAAATTTGCATCTCGTCATTCAAAGACCATCGTGTTGTAGGGATGTTGAACGTTCAATCCCTTGGGTTTTTAAGCACTTACATTAACACAGAGTTGATGTAAAATTTGAGACTTTGATTTCTTTAATCAAAATTCAAAGACGAATTTGAAATTGAATGGAAATTTGCTAAGTTGTCTATGAAATCAAGTATTTTTCCTCATATAAACAATTTAAAAAAGGAAAGAGAGAGATTTCATTTTGAAATCAGAATTATAGATCTTTGATGGGCTGTACAATGAATATATACATCATTGAATATCTTAAAACTTGAAGACGAGTTTTCAACATCACTTTTCGAACATTCTCTTATAGTCGGACATCTCTGAGCCGATCTTGGAGCAATTCCTTTTGTTAATTTTGATTGAAGCGTTGCTTTCAGTCTCACCTCAGTTGTTTACTTAGTCATTTGGCAAAACAAGAAGAGCAATATGTTTATGTTGCTTTCGCCTATGAAGAGAAACTAGTCTATACATTTTTTGAAGTTATACTTCTTATTGGGCGTTTGGGAAGAAGAATGAGGGTACATTTTTACGCTGCGCGCGCAAACTGTCACGGATGTGACACACACTATCACGGATGCGAACATGCTTTGTCTAGAAATATACAGAATGGGTCAGATCATTCCCGCCTTCGAAATTCCCTGAAAAATAATTATCTTCACTTCCCTGAAGAAGGGGGCACCCAGGTTTGAACCGGGTACCTTTCGACCTGCAGTCGAATGCTCTACCACTAAGCTGTACCCCCGCGTCAGCAAGCCTTTGCTTTGCGTTCCGAAGGAACGGATACGAAAATGCCTTTTCTAGAAATATACAGAATGGGACAGATCATTCCCGCCTTCGAAATTCCCTGAAAAATAATTCTCTTCACTTCCCTGAAGAAGGGGGCACCCAGGTTTGAACCGGGTACCTTTCGACCCTGCAGTCGAATGCTCTACCACTAAGCTGTACCCCCGCGTCAGCGAGTTTTTGCTTTACGTTCCGAAGGAACGGATACGAAAATGCCTTTTCTAGAAATATACAGAATGGGACAGATCATTCCCGCCTTCGAAATTCTCAAAAAACTATTTCTTTACTATTTTAGTCATACTTCTTTTTGGGAGTTACGGAAAAAGGATGAGGGTAAATTTTTACGATACGCGCTCGCACCTTCACGGATGCATTCGCATACCTTCACGACACAGAGGTGCGCGCACACCGTTGTCTAATATTTTAATATGCCACTTTTTTGGTGCCATGGAACTGATATTTGGGGAATCATAAAAACTATTGTTGTAACCATATCTGTTGGGACGCATCCCCTCCTGGGCATTCCCTCCCTCTACAGCTTTTTGGCCAATATCTCGGCACCTGAGCCTCACAGTCCGTTCGGAACTGGCTCATTCGATCCCTCTCTATCTGCTCTCTATAATAATTTTTCATGTGTGTGTGTGTTGTATGTGTGTGTGTGTGCTTATAGGGTTATTTCTTCCATAGTTTTTAATTGTCTTAAACTTTTTAATTTGTTTAAATTCACAATATCTTGGCTCCTGTTCGAGTCTCGGTCTTGAGATTTGAGCCAACTGTTCCATTCGTCGAGGTCCATCCAGTCATCTACTTCATTCCCATTGTGTAAGGGGGAGGGCGTAAGCACTAAAATATCATGCTCCCATGTTAATCCTTTGGGAACTGGAAAAAATTCCACCCCACCCCTAAGCAATTGAGCCTGGAACTTGATTTTTGGTGGTCCACCATATTTTTGTATTAGCGTGAGCTTTACGTGGAATTTGCCCCCTCCCCCCTACAGGGCTTCCCCAGAAATAACTTGAATCCTATGCCACCTTGGTCGATGGCACCGGCTGGATTCGATTGTTTTCCTATGAGCACCCTAGACATATTTTTTCAGGACCATATAGCCCCATTTCTTCACTTATATTTAACATTTTTAAATTATTTTAAAGTTTTAATTTTTTTAAAATCCTGCATAGCTCCGAGGATTTTTGAGATTCGTTAATGAAATTCGGACCATATGTTCTCCTCGTTGAGCTGTTTCATCTGTTATAATTCGTGTGTAGACAGTGGGCTTAGGGGGCCTTATCACTAAAATTAGAATCTCCATGCTATTCCTATAGGGTTCGACCTTTTGATGACATTACGATATTACCGAGGTAGAAGGATGAAATTTTGCGATCACTTACTATTCTGTATATCGCTGGGATGTGCGTGACCATTTACGTCACAGTTGTAACAACCGGGGGTGTTAGTTTCGTTTCCTTTTCCTGAGCTAGCACCGCCCCATTTGCAACTACAGACTCTAGACCGGAATGAATGGATTCCTTTTGTGTTTCCTTACAACCAGGCCCAGATTCGAGTTGCTGGGTGCCCTTCTATTTTATTTAATTGTTTTAAATTTTTTAAAAGGACCATATTAGGCAGATGTCTTAATTTTCTCAGTAACGATTCTCCCCACCGAGACATTTAATGTGAGGTCTCAGGTGTCACATTCGGTTCAACTCATCTCTAGGTACAGTCTGCCGAACCCCCTCATCCCATGTTGTCGGTCCTATTGTCCATGTGCAGGGGTGATTAAATTTATTTAAATCGTGATTATCTCGGGTTTGGCTGGTCCGATTGACTGAAGGTTAGTATTGTTCAACTCTGCTCGTGAGCGCCTTTCGTCCTTGGCCCAGATTGCTCTCCTCAAGATTTTTAGAAATATTTTAATCTTTTTACGCCAAAGAAGTATAACTTCTTACATGCGTACATAAGTACATACACAATTTTTTATTATTTCATCTCTAATCGTTTAGCAATGAGCAAAATAAAATGTGTTAACCTTCAACAACAGTACACAAAATATTGAACTTATGTAATGACAATAACATGTTTATTGCATACTACGAATTGGAAAACCTTCAGGTGGAATAAATGAAAAGGCGATATTGAAGACCACGTGTAAACAGTTAAACACGAAGGACTATTAATTCTACTGCTTCAACGAATATAACAGAATTTTTTAAAGTTACAGATGGGAATAACAATAACAATGATCTGAGCGTTCTGCTAAAGAAGACACATTTTCATTGCAAACAAGTAGATATGAACTCATATTCAGAACATCAGATTGCACAATTAAACTATTTCAAAAGTTATGCTGTCCAAATTTTTCATCTGTTAGAATAAAAACCGAGACTCAATTATCGTTAACGTAACTTCATCCTTTACATTTGATATTTTGAAGAACATTAACTATGTAACCGTAACAATGCGTAACAGAAACACAGAAGTGAAGTATAACCTGTTCGATTGTTGCGAGATATTTCAGTTCGCAGGAAAAAGTTCAAGCTATGCATGCAAATTTCGATGAAGTATCTGTTATAACTGATTGAACTACGTTTGACTCAGCATCTTTTACACTATGTGAAAAAATGCAAACTTGAAGAAAATTTGGTTTGTTAAACTGCTGATAATAATAACAGCAATTTTGGGGGATGTGAAGAGAAATTTGAATGAAAATGCTTTCAGAATACCTCGAAGTGATTTAAACAGACTTATCAGGAATTGGTTGTTCAGCCCACATTGTACACATTTCAATACAAACAGTGTGCTATTCTCTATTCCTAAATACAAAATTGTATATTATTATTATGAAAATTTTTAAATATTTTTTATGTATTTGACCGAGTATTAAAGCTTAAAGTTATATGAATTTGTGGAAATAGAATACAAAAAGTATCATCTCATAACAGCACAAAGTTCGTTAATTTTTACCAGCAATAAGACTAATTCTTTCCCTTTCAGATGGCTTAAAAATTGTACTTCTAATCTTGTGAAAAATGCTTAAAGTTATATAATGTGTGTGTGTGTGTGTGTGTGTGTGTGTGTGTGTGTGTGTGTGTGTGTGTGTGTGTGTGTGTGTGTGTGTGTGTGTGTGTGTGTATGTGTGTATATGTGTGTGTGTGTGTGTGTGTGTGTGTGTGTGTGTGTGTGTGTGTAAGGATACTTAAATTAGATTAAAAATTAAATTCCCTATCTAGCACTTAACTCATATTTTTCATTTCATCTTCAAGTATCAAACTATTCACCCATTTATTTTTTCCAAACATATGGCCTAGCCAATAAACATGTCTAATTCCAGATCGTTATATTTAATAGCCCTACAATACAGCATTAACTTTCAAGTACAATCATAAAATCTATGATACTTACCCCATCAGTGTCTTTAGTGACACACCGTGGCGTGTTTTTTCCTCCCTGCTCTTAGCGTCTGAAGAGATGTACTAATTCTAGAATAAAGACCTTTTTTAAAACTAAGTCTGATTCTGGCTTAAAACATGTCATGTATATATATATATATATATTGCTGGTAAAATGAGGAGTGCATCATCTCTATAATAACGTCTTTATTTTGCTTCAATCACATAAAATCCAACACGGCTGCCATTTGGCATGCAACCGAGTAGAACAATAAACAACAATTCGGCGAGGAGTTGCCAGCCAAGCCTTTTTGAGTGTGCGTTCTCCTTCGTCAGCGCTCGCTCCACCTTTAAATAGGCATATTTACCCACACATCCTTACATGATGGTGAAGAGTTAGCTCTATTTTCATTTATTACTTACTTAATTTTGAAGCTAAACTTTTGAAACCTAACATATACATACATATATATATATAGCAGTAAATAAATAAAAAAAGATGACTAATAAATCCTAAAAAATATTACTATCAAAACGAAAGAACTAAGAACACGGAATCATTACAGATAAAAAAAAATAAATTTAGCTAGAGTGGAAAAACTATTATGAATTCCCTAGATGTCACTGGCTTAGGACAGTGAAACAGGTTTAAACAGTGTTTTGTGAGATCTCAACCTTCCCCTACATCGGAAATTTTCGACATAATAGCATAGGAGATAAACCAAGGCAAAGGCTCAAAAACCCACGTGGGTGACTATAACATCAACAGAATAGAATTTTGGAATATTAAATTACTACATGAATCCGGGCAAAATAGACAAATATAAATATGTATAAACAAAAATATTTGCAAAAGAGGAGACCATAAGTAATAATCATGAAAATGTGCGAAGAAACTAAAATCTTACCCAATGTATACAGATTCCATGAGTGTACTGACACCAAGCACAAAAAATTCAGTATAACTAAGAATATTGGTGCCATCTGCATATATTTTTAGTAACTAAACTTATTATAAGAAAATTAAGAATAATATATACTATAAACTAAATCGAAATGAATATATTAAATAATAATAATTAAATAGCTATACTTTTTTTTGAAGACATACATTTATATATAAAATTACCTTCATAGTTATAGTCTAGGCAACTTTGAAAGAATTTTTTATAATTATTAATTCTTAAAACTTTTTCAGACACTAAATCATTATTTCTTTTTATATATTTTAGAATAATATTTCTAAAAATTGAAATGTGAAGGGAACTATTCAATATGACATTTTTATAACAATAAAATCAAAAGAGTCTCTTTTATAAAAAAATATTACTTTTTAGCATATTATTTTCAACTTTTAATTGGAGATCTAAGAAGTTTGCTGACTCTATATTGAAAATGGTTTTTATTAATTTCCAGTAATGTGGATAATACTTTAAAATAGGAGTAAAGTCAACTTTATTACTGAAAATAATGAAATCATCGATGTATCTAAAAAAGTAACAAGAGTCTGTATAATTTTTTTCATTCTCATAATAGTGTAAATAAATATTAGCTAGACTATTGCTAGCTGGGCCACCTTGTGGCAGACCATTTATTTGTTGATAATAATTGTTATTATGAAATATGACATTTTCTTTCAAAAGAAATGCTATAAAAGTATTAAATTTATCATAAGTTATGAATTTATTTAATGAATATTTAATATAAACATTTTAAGTACTTTAATCATATCCTCTATATCAATAGAGTTGAATAAGTCTTCGAAGTCAAAGCTATGCAA